TTGCTCTCTCATCATGGTCCTCGACGATTGCATTTATGGAAAGGTCTGAACTCACCTATCTCGTGGGAGGGAGGAACGACGGCCTAGAAGTCTCATTGTAGAATGGAAACCTTGCAGATGAGAGAGTGTGATCACAGAGCTATTGCAACACCCCCTCACCTCGTTGGATTGGGAGTTAGGAGCTTGATTCAGCCTGTGAGACTAACCCGTTGTGTTTCCCCTACTGAGCAGAAACAGCAAATGTTAAGAGTGTGTGTGGTCCTCGCAGAGATGGGGTGGGGGTGGGGGTCGGGGGAAGGGGGGTTCTATTTGGTGTTGTCAGGGCAACGCCTAGTCCCGGGAGATGAACGATGCATGCTTTGAAACATGCCTTCTTCTGTAAGCGCTTCCTGAAGGAGAGCATCTCAGACTTCCCTCTGCAAATAAGCAGGGGGCTTTGTGAAGGAGATTCTTTGTGTGAAGCGGTCCCTTCCCACAGTGCGGTTTGTGCCTCCAGTTCCCTTTCTGTATTTGGACGGTTGCAAATTAGGTGGGTGTTCCCATTTCAGACGGTCCACTTTGTACTCAACAGTTTAACCCACTCATCCACCCCCCTCCGGGGGTTACTCCTCAGCTGGTCCCTGATTCCTCTTCTCCTTCTTGTGGGCTACTATCCGCCATTTCTCCCACCTTAACACCCCTCACCAGTCTGACCCATTGCTTTGCCTAACCCTCACCCCGGGCAAACTCCAACGTCTGCTCCCTTCAGGATGGAAGTTTTTCACTGCAGTTCTCATTTACTGAGCAGCTAACGTGAGCCAGGCATGCTCTCCACCTGCAGGAAACTCAGAGTTCAAGTTAGATAGTGACCTACTGAGTCCCCAGCCGGGGAACACGGGGTCGGTGAGAGAAAGTCAGACAGCTCTCACCTAGCCAGGGTTCACATGATCACACCCCTGGGTCTGGCCACTGCTCCTTGATCATGGAGACCCCTCCCAGCGGGCCTCGAGAATCAGAACTCAGCTTCTGGGGCCCAAGGCTGACTGTTCAATTCAGCTCCATGACTGGATCGTGGTCTTAGTGATGCCTTTAAAGATGAAAGGTGCTGCTGTCCATATTTTGGTGAAATGAGGGTGACAAGGGACTTGATTTCAAGAGCTGTTGGGGGGATGAGGGGACACGGGAGACCTGGAACCACTCTTTGTTTGAATATTTCCAACACTTACTAGGTGTGCAGGTCTAGGCTATGCACCTGGTTGTCGTGATTAGATATTTGGTTGTCATTCTTACATGCCATTGAGTTGACTCCCATTCCTGCCTGTCTGGTCTCACAGCATCCTTGCAAATACCCACATGGTTAAGCCCATCCTTGTGGTGATGGCGTCGATCCATCTTGTCGTGGAAACTTTCCCGGATTCTTACTGGCACCTCTGCCCCACCAAAGATGATGTCTTCTAATGACTGATCCTTCCCGGTGACATGTCAGAAGTAAGATGGTCAAACGATGTTCTGTGTGGATCCATAAGGCTTCTACGCTGGTCAACCCATGACTCTTTTGTGAGGCAGAAGGTGAGAGGGCTGATCACTCAAATATGGCGCATCTCCCTGTGGTTACCCATCGTTTCCAAGAGCTCTCCAGCATGCACTAGAAAGAGCTACATTTACTGATTGCTTTTTGGCTTAGCTGAGTCCCTCCTGAGTAAACATGAGTAAACTCCCTGACCCACACAGGTGTGAAACCAGGTGTGAAACCAGGAAGACAGCCCGCACCATTGTCATGCCAGACACCATCAGTCCCAGGCTAGGGGGTCACGCGCCCTAGGCTCGGTGGCAGAGCCCAGACCACAGCCACCTTACGGCAGACTGCACTTCCCTGAGTTGACACCACCACCAATGGGGAGTTGTACCACAGATGTGATGACAGCCACTTGGGGACAAGGGCCATCTGACATTCACGGTGCTTGCTGACTGTGAGATTCCAGAGATGTTCATTTGTAGACTAGAAGGATGGAGAGTGTCTGTCTTCATTTCCCAGGTCTGCTGTAACAAGTGCCGAAAATTGGCACTTCTAAGAACAGAAATGTATTGTCCCACCTTTCTGGAGGTGAGGATCTGAAATCAGGGAGATGGCAGGGCCACGCTTTCTCCTCAGGCTCTATGGGAGACCTTTCTTTGTCTCCCCAGCTTCTGGAAGCCCTGCATGCCCACTGGCTGCGGTTGCAGCACCACTCCACCCTCCCATGACCCTCTTCCCTCTCTGTGCCTCTTCTCCTCGTCTATACGGACCCCCTTGGACGGATGGAGAACCCACCCTACTCTGCCATGACCTCACCTTGACTGATGACACCTTCAAAGGCCTCTTTCTGAACAAGGTCACATTCCCAGGTCCCAATGGGTAGGAACCTGAACATACATTGTTTTGGAGCCCATAGTTCAATGCACAGGGCTCAGGGCAACAGTCACACTCAGAGGAGACAAAGTCAAAGACAACAACAAACACAAAGTGCAGAAGAAACTCTCTGCTACTTGTCATCTTTTCCCCTCTTGTTTACTAAAAAAAAAGAGAGAGATACAGTTCACATACCATCACATCCACCTATCCAAAGCAAACAACTTCGTGGTTTTTGGTATATTCACAAAGTGGCACAACCATCCCCTGTCCCCATCTAATCCCAGAACAAATGTATCATGATCAAAGAACAGTCCCTACCCATTAACGGTCACACCCCATTCCTCTCCTCACCCACCTTCCCCCAAGTACCTGCCAACCACTAATCTCACGTTCTTGGAGATGCTAACCCTTTGTCAGTGTGGAGTGCATTCTGACTCAGAGTGACCCTCTAGGACAGAGGAGAACCGTCCCTTAGCTTTCTGAGGTTGTAAGTGTTTACATAAACAGACTAGCTCATCTTTCTCCTTCGAAGCAGCTGATGGATTCTAACTGAGCATTTAACACTGTGCCTCAGGACTCCTGATAAGAAAAGTCTAAAAGAGAACCCTCAAAACCTCCCTGTTATCAAGTCAATTCCAACTCAGCGCAGCCCTGTAGGATAGAGTAAAACTCCCGTGGGGTTTCTGAGACCCAGTCCTGGCAGAAGCAGACTGCCATATCGTTCTCCTCAGAAGCAGTTGAGTGGGTTTGAAGGGCTGGCTGGTGAGTAGCTAAGAATGGAGCCTCTGCACTGCCGGCCTTCTTTTCTATGAGCTTCTCTCTCCACCAAACCCAACAGCTGGCAGGGGCCTTTTGCAGCTCTTCAAAGGACCATGGAAGGGCAATGTTGACTGGTAAAGTCAGAGGCATTTAGTAAACATAAATTGTTACTACGAATTGAAAACCAGTACACCCAGTTGCCATCAAGGTGACCCCAACTGGTAGCAAACCAAAGAGCAATGGGACAGAACTGGGCTCCAGAGGGGTTTCAATGGCTGGGTTTTTGGTAGATCACCAGCGTTTAACTTTGAGGCAAATCTGGATGGACTCACCGTCCAACGTTTCCACTAGGCACTGTGTGTGTTCACCATTGGCGCTGCTCCTGGAAAATGTGTAGACAGGGAGGCAGAATCACAGGTACCTTGAAAACCAAGACCAAGCACTGGCAATGTGCCTTTGGTCCAAGCATTTCCTTGCTCTGAGCTTCAAGAGTCCTATCTGTTCCACACAATGTTGTCTAGAACTTATAGGGAGCCTTTGTCATTCAGGACCTAACTAGGGAGAGTGCCTTGGAAAAAGACAAGGAAGTTTGCCTTCAGGGGAACCACCATGAAAGAGATGGAGGCTGAGCAGTAAGGCTGATTGTCCACTCATTGTGGACACAGTCCCATGGGATCTCCACCCAAAGTCCTCCAAACCTGCACCTCCCGTGGGAAGTCTTTCCGAGTGTGTACGTGCTGTATCTTTTCCCAGACTGTCTTTAAACGTTCTCAAGAAACAAAAGCATTGTGAAGAACTGAACACGGAACCCTTTGCCTGGTGTCATTGGGTGTTGTTCTAAGTCCTAAGGAGCCTGTGTGCAGCACAATGAAATACTGCCAGTCCTGCACCATCCTCACTATCGTTCTTGTTTGAATCCTTGGTTGCAGCCACTGTGTCCGTCCATCTTGTTGAGGTCCTTACCCTTTTTTGCTGCCCCTCTACTTTACTAAGCATGATATCCTTCTCCAGGGACTGGTCTTTCCGGATAACATGTCCAAAGTCTGTGAGAAAAAGTCTCACCAACGTTGCCTCTATGGAGCGTCCTGATTGTACTTCTTCCGAGACAGATTTGAACTCAGAATCCTAGCCCCCTAAACTGTGAGGAAATCAATTTCTGTTCATTAAAGTCACTCAGGGGTCATATTTCTGTTGTGACCGTGCTAGACAGCTAAGCACACCACCTAAGGAGCAACCAGTGGGGGCAAGGGAAAAGCCCTGTCACCAGTCTTGTATTTTCACTGATGAGTCAAAGATGGCCAACCTTGAAAGGTAGTCTACGTCACAATGCCAACACAAGCGACATGCCTAGTGGTCCAGGCTTCATACCGGAGCATCGTCTGACTCCATTCCCACAGCACAGTGGTTCTGGCTGTGCATGTCTCCCTGAAGGGAGGTGAGAAGCAGGTGTCTCACCTGCTGCAGGTGAGAAAGAGACTCTAAGGAACCTTGCAAATGGCTTCCAAGATGACACAACTGAGAAAGAGCCCAAGCCCCTTCATGGCGTGTGCCATGATGCCTGCAGGGGCCTTGAAATCAGTCAGTCGAAAGTCCGCTGCGGTCACTGAGTGGTGCTGGGCAGCTTAGAGCCATGGCTACCCTGAGCCTACTCTCCAGCATGGCCCACATGCTGAGAGTGCTCTGACCTCGCACACGGAGAATGCCGGTCATATGGTTGGGGCTGGTGCTTCACCATGGGCCGTTCTCTCCCTCCGCCCTGCTTGGTGGAAATCACACCAGGAAGGGGAAACTGAAAAGAGTTGAATGGCCCCTTTCCCAGGATGGTGACCAAAGGCCACCTGCATTCAGCAGCATCTTCTTCTCCCTACAGGAGAGCACCTGGCCGTACCTTTTTGGAGTAATTGTGGTCCCCGCCCTGGTCCAGCTGGTGAGCCTGCCCTTTCTGCCCGAGAGTCCACGCTACCTGCTCTTTGAGAAGCACGACGAGGCAGGAGCTGTGAAAGGTGGGTGTCCTCTCTCTTCCCTGACCCCCACCCCCACCCCATGCCTGGGTATGCTGGGACCAGGGCCCATGGGAAGTGGGAAGGGTTATCACCAGTCCTCTCTGCTGGGCACTGGAAGACATTCAATCTCATGTGCTCTTCCCTAGCGCCCTGTTTCAGGTGGCTCAAAGAGGGGTCATGGGCAACAGGGTGTCAGCCCAAGTCCCATGTAGCCGCACCTTATGGAGTCTCTGGGTGGCACACATGCTTAGGCACTTGGTTACCAACCAGAAGGTTGATGGTTCGAATCCACCAAGAGGCACCTCAGGAGAAAGTCCTGGTGAACTGCTTCTGAAAGGTCTCACTTGTTGAAAACTCACAGAGCACAACTGACTCGGAGGCACCTGGGGATGTTGTGAGTTGGAATTGACTCCAGCAGTTTGGTTTATTATTATTATTATTATTATTATTGTTCTGTCTTGTATTGTTGAGTCTTTTTTTTTTAATCTTCGATACCTTACAGAATTCTTTCTCTCCATTATAGCCTGGCTGGCTGGCCCCCACAGCAGAGAGATGCAAACTCAGGCTTCCTCTGGTTTAGGAGGATCGCAGGCTAACCTCACTCCATCCCCACCCATCCACCTCCCCACTCCCCCCACTTCTCCTGTTCTTCCTTTTTCGGGCAAGGAAAGACAAAATTACAAGCTTAAGATTCACGCCAATATGCTCCGAGGCAAAGGCAGGTCATTCTGTGAGATGACCTTCTGGAATGTTCCCAGTGACCTTGTGAGTGAGCCAGAGTAGACTCGCTTTATAGAAGAGGAACTGAGGCTCACAGTGGGACTTGGGGATCTTCTTAGGGGGGCTTCCCTTACGTTTCCTATGTGGCAAACTGCTTGGTTGGGTCCCAAGCACAGCGTTCAGAGTCAGTCTTTCGGTAGACCCCTGGGAAGGGAACATCTTTTACCCAGAGGGGGAAGGTGCAGGAGGGACAGTGGCTTTCCTTGTCTGTCTCCCAGTGTGGCACAGCAAAGCATGAGGACAGGGTGATGGCTAAGGGCTTGAGGGGTGGGGGCTGGCCAGCTACTGCCTTCCCACCCCCACTCTGCTGTCTGACTAAGCAAGTCCCTTAACCTCCCCCAAATGCAGAGCCCTCTTCTGTCTAAAGAAAATGATATAAGCCTTGCTCATGGGACCATCCTAAGTCTTAAAGGTGTGATATATAGTGAATTTAGGGAACACTGGTGCCTTGGTGTGGGGCTACTAACAACCAGGTCAACAGTTCAAAACCACTCCAAGGGAGAAAGATGAGGCTTCCTACTCCCGTAAAAAGTGTCAGCCCCAGCAACCCACAGGCGCAGTTCTACCCTGTCTTATAGGGTCACTGGGAGTCAGGACAGACTCAATGGCAGTGAGATTGGTGGTTTTCGCTTTGTTTGTGTTGGTGTGTCAGTAGGCATTGTGGTCATACATTGGACTGCTAACTGTGAGGTCAGCATTTCAAAACCACCAGCCACTCCAAGGGAGAAAGATGAGACTCTCTACTCCCGTACAGAGTTCTTGTCTTGGAAACCCATGGGGGCAGTTCTGCCCTGTGCCACAAGGTCACTATGAGTTGGAATGGAGCGAGTATGGTTTGGTCGTTCAGTGATCCATGCCCACCATGCACAAGACCCGGGTGCTATCTCAAGCCCACCCACCTCGTGTGCAGCCACCACTTAGCTGTCTGTGGTGCTAGGATGCTTATTCTAGTTCAAATGACCTGCTCTGCTTTTTCCATCTAGACCCTCTCATCCACTACAATGGCCACACAGAACTCAGAGACAATAGTCATGAGTTAGGGGTCTGTAAAGGAACTTAACAGGTCACAATGCAGGTGAGAAACGCTCAGGGTCCTGCTGTTCCGTCAGGACGTGCTACAAAGTTCTCTCCTGTCCGACAATAAATGCCCAAAGGGTCTTAAAGGCTTGAAGGTAAACAAGTGGCCATCTAGCTCAGAAGCAACCAAACCCACGTGGAAGAAGCACACCAGCCTGTGCGA